TCGATGACAAGCTCTGCACCTAGATCCATGCGATCCTCTTCATCGACCACGACTTCAAGAGCCAGCACGTACAGGTTCCAGAAACCTTTTGGTGGCCTCCCCAAGCAGGCTATGGTCTCCGAAGCTGAGGTCGAGATCGACCCTGAGGAAGAAGATGAGCTTGTGGCCGACGGTGGAGATCCACCTCAGGCGACTTTGGATGAGGTGCTTCAGATGGAGGCTGAAGGCTTGGCGCAGGACCTTGAGGAAGCAGCCGAATGTGGCCTTGACAGCGACACTTTGCAGCAGATTGAGGAGTCAGTTGAAACTGCGGCAGAAGCTCTTCTCACGATGCGTGAGGCCAAGGTCAAGCTCCAAGAAGTGAAGAAGGACCGTGGCTATGGCCGTGCTTCACCTGCTGACCAAAAGGGCAAGATGAACCCCAAGAAGCAGTCTTCGAAGCATCCTTGCTTCGATTGCAACTTGCCAGGCCACTGGGCCGGTGATCCTGAGTGCACAAAGCCTGGACAAGGGCTTGGTCGAAAGAACAAGCAGGTCAAGCAAGTGAAGGTCACGGAGGCCTTGAACACCGAAGTGTCTCCGCCTGTGATGGAGGATGGAGGCCATGAAGTTTTGGCAGTTGGAGCCTTCCCCATGACGAATGAGTTCGTGGCAGCTTTTGAACAGTCTCACCTCCATCCACAAGAGGTGAATGTTGCTGGCAAGCTCTCTGCCGACAAAATGCTTGTTGGAGCCCTTGATTCAGCTTGCAACCGCACGTGCACTGGGACGGAGTGGCTCAACAACTACCTCCGTTGCCTGAGAGATGCCCCCGAAGAAGTTCGTGGTTTGGTCAAGTCCCACAAGGAGTATGAGACCTTCAAGTTTGGCAACGGTGGAACCCAAGTCAGTGTTGCACGGTGGCGGCTCCCCATGCAGTTAGATGGCTCCATCATTTGTTTTTTGGACTTCATTGGTGCCGGTTCCTTCACTGGGGTTGCTTTTAGGTCGTGATTTTCTAGAAGCAATTGGAGCTGACATGCATTTTGCCCATCGCACCCTTCGATGTGAACACCTCACGGGCAAGCCGATTTCCTTGAAGCAGCTGGCTGCAGGTCATTTCCTCCTGCCATTGGTGCCAGCAGCCTGGTCAGGTGTGGGGCCACAGCGTTGGAAGCGTTTGGGAGTTGATGGTGTTTTGGAACTGCAGTTGAGTCCTGTTCAATGGCTTCAAAAGAAACTGTCTTTTGGTTCATCTTTGAAGAGCAGTTCACATGACCACCTCCTGACAGAGCAGAGCGTTCGTGTGGGCCATTTGGTTTGTGCAGTTCTTCGCTCACCTGATGTTTTTGGCTCATCGGTTCAAGCTCAAGGTGCGTCCATGAAGCCGGAAGGGACGACCGATCGAAATTCGAGTTCCTCTTCCTTGACCACTTCACCCTCCAATGTTCGGCGGATGGATGACTGCAGGCAACCTCTTGGGAGGCGAGAGCGCCAACATGGACGTGAAGGTCGGAAGATGGAAGCGGATGTTCCTCCGCATGGGAGAAAGGTTTCGCTGGGCAGCAAAAGGATTGCTCCTTTGGCTTTTGCAAAGGCCCTACTTGCGATATCTGCCATTGCCCTATCCCTCGACTACCACGACAGCAGCTTGGTTGGCTCAGGTGCGCAAGCAGGTTTCAGATGGAACCATCCCTCCAAGGTACCTCAAGAACTGCCTGGAGAAGAACCTGTTCACCATGAGCAACTTGGCAGAATGTCGGCACCTTCGCAACCGGGTGGGGCTCAGGACATCGTTCATCGAAGATCCCGTCCTGGCAGGAATGATGGCAGCGCAGACGACCAAGGGCATCACAGCCAAACTGAGGAGTGCTGCTCAGAAGGAAGCCAAAGAGCTGGCCAAGAAAGCAGAAGCAGACGGAAGTCGAGAACAAGAGGCTCGGGCACTCATTGGCCCACGAGGAGGTCTTCCTACCCTCCGAGCAGATCTGGTGAAGTTGGCTGCTTTGCTTCATGTGGATCTGGGCGAGAAAGACTCCGTGGCTCAGATCAAGGAAAAGGTGAAGCCTATGATCGAGATCCTCAAGAACAAGAAGCCAGCGATAAGCCCAGCAAAGGCCAACACGGCCGAAGAGATTTCAGCGAGCTCTTCTTCACCGCCCGCCAGGCTGTTCAACGACAACCCCAAGAACCTGGCAGTTCAGCAGCAAGAGATGAGGGCTATGATGGAGCAGATGTCTCGCGAGCTGGCATTGCTGCGCTCACAAGTGACTCCGGAAATGGAGGTGGATCTCAGCTCAGAGCCAAGTCTGATCCCAGACTCGCCACAGGATGCCTCACCCGTGAACTTCACCGAGGCCGAGATTCGGGAATTGAATGGTCAGGCCTACGAGGAGCTGTACGGAGCCAATTTGACAGCTCAGTTCGGGGACGACATTCCGGCCGAAGTGATGCAGGAGATCCGTCTGGGTCTCAGGGATGGAGCAGGGATGTGAGCCGCCCTCATGAATTCAGACTTCACCAAGATCTGAAACCTGGTCAAGCTCAACTGGTCGCTCAAGCCTGGAGTCAGCATGAACAAGATCGAAAGAAAGTGTCACAATCTCCAAGGCAGATGAAAGAGTTGCTGGTGGCTGACCATGAACAGGAGATGTTGGACTTCATGACCGAAGAGACCTTCTTCCAACCGTTTGAATTGTGTCTTCCGGATGACAAGGTTCTTGCCGGTTTTGAGGCCCTTCAGAATGAGAGCCAGCCCAAGAATGTCTTGATTTCCAAGAATGTCAAGCCCCCTGACAAGGAGCGGTCCCTTGTGTCTGAGGTCTACACCACTTCGCAGAATGTCATGCGAGAGGCTGAACGAAGAGGCCACAAGGTGGGTCCGGCTATGTCGTTGGACAATGGATGGAACTTCCTTTTGGCTGAGCACCGAAGCCGGGCAATGAAGGTTTTGGAGGAGGAGAAGCCTTACTGCGTGGTGCTTGCTTTTCCATGTGGGCCATTCAGTCCACTACAGTACCTCAACACTCGAGGATTGACTTCCTTGGATCAACGTCAAGCTGATGGTTTGGTCCTGATGGAGTTTGCGATTGAAGTCGCAAAGCTGCAGATGAAAGGTGGTCGACACTTCATCATGGAGAACCCGCTCCCGAGTTTAGCATGGAAGACACTCCCCATGCAGAAGTTCATCGAGGAGCACAATGTGGAGATAGCAGTGTTTGATCAATGCCAGTTCAACCTTCGCAGTCTTTCAGGCGAGTTGCATAGAAAATCCACACAGCTGGTGAGTTCAAGCCCCAGGGTGATTGCTTTGTTGGATGGCCTTCGTTGCAAGCGTGACCACAGCCATCAACCTGTCCTGGGAGGCTCCAAGATTACAGCTCATGCGGGCATCTACCCAAAGCCGCTGGCACGCGCCTTGGTGAAGGGGATCATGGAGCAGTTCGATTTGGACTTCCGGCCTAAGGAGGCCCTGGCAGCTCAGACGGGAGAAGCGGAGGAGGACTTTGGTGATGGCCTACTTGCTTTGGGCGCTGAAGAGATTTCTGATGAAGAAGTTGGAGATTCCCCTCAGACTGACCTCAAGATCAGTCCTTCCTTGAAGAATGCCATCAAGCGCCTACATGAGAATACTGGCCACAGAAGCAATCGTCGTTTGGCGCGAGCTCTTGCAGTTGCAGGTGCTCCTGTGGAAGCTATAGCTGCTGCCAAAGCTCACAAGTGCTCTCTTTGCCAAGAACGTGCACCTCCGAAAGTCAGGAGACCAGCATCACTGCCGACTCCAAAGGACATTTCAGATCAGGTTCACGTAGACCTGCTGGAGATAGAAGATGCTGCAGAAACACGTTTCTATGTTGCCCATGCCACGGACTTTGCAACACGTTTCCAGGTTGCTGAGGTTTTGCCGGACAAGTCCTCCAAGTCAGTGATTCAGTTCTTGACTTCAAGATGG